CTTCAGGACACCCTCTCCAACAAGGGGCTTGTGCATTTCCCATACAATCCTTGAAATTAGCTCATTGTTTCCATATGTTCCCCCGCCCCAAACCCATTCCCCATCCAATCGCGCCCAAATCTGTTCTCTGGATCCAGGGACCTGTTCGTTTATGTGGAACAACCGCGGTTCGTCTTTTTTTAATGCAATTGTTTTGGTATAAATCCTGGCGGACCTGCAAAACTTTATGCAGGACTTGCAAGGCTCTGTCAAGTCTCGCGTGAAAACAGCATCTGATAGCTTAGGCAGACCTTATTTCACAAACAAACAGCTCTGGTCCAACCGGTTCAACCGTTTGGTTTGCGATAAACGAAGGCGGCTCTTATCATTTTGACCTTCAACATTCCTTTCCGCATGTTTACCGTAGTCACTGAACATCATGTCTCTTTCCTGGCTGCATGGTCACGGTTACCTATGCTTACACATTCTTCTATCGTGAGAGTTGTAAAATACACAACATGTATCACATTAAGTTTACAAGTTTACAAGTTTACAAGTTTTATTCAAACTTTGGGCCATTGGCCCATCAGTATACAAAACATTTTTCTTAAACAAATCATGGACAATGTACAGAGGATGAAAACAATCATATTCCATTATAATACCCTTAATTTGTTTGCCTCATATATGAATTTTCCTAGTATACACAATTCTTTAATATTATGGACACTCAATAACTGGACGACTTTAAACACAGATGTTTTTTTCCAATAATAGCTTTTGATAAAACGAGATCTGAGATTTTGGAATTTAGAACAGACCAATAAAAAACGAAATTCGTCCTCTAATTCAGAGGGGGAGTTACACTGCTTACAATATCTACGTTCTCTAGGTATATTATTATACCTTCCAACTTCTATAGCTAAAGAATGGGTAGATGTACGTATTCGAGTTAAACAAATGCGATATTTCTTTGGTATATATTTTGTGAGGTAAAATTGTAATGTTTCTCCAAAATCTATTATATGTTTATACAATAAACATTTTGGAGAGTTTTCCACTGTGGCCCTTAGGGATTGTATGCCTTGATCAAAAATTCTTTGTTTTATCAATGGTAATAACAGATTTTGCTGAGAGATGCATGGATTTAACCAAACATCACTAAGACCTAGATTGTTTAATTCATCTCTTACTGCTATAGCCCAGTTGAAATCATTTCTACTACAACATTGTAATAAAAACCTATAGGAAGTTGATATAATACAATTTTCAGATTTTAATAATTTAAACCAATATTTTATCATTCTAATTTTTCTCATACAAACTAGAGGTAACCGTCCCAATTCAAGATATACCATGTTGTTATTGGCCGATTTCTTCACTTTTAGTAGTTTCTTACAAAAATGTAAATGTACATGTTCTATCTCTGGAGCTTTGTGCATACACCAAATTTCACTTGCATAGAAAAGGATACTGCTTACATATGTATCGAAAAGATGGAGCATAGTTTTTACATTTAAGTTTAATGATGAACACTTTGCAAATAATGCAAACATAGCTTTTCGTCCTTGGCTAGCTAATTGTTTTTGTATAGATGTGAATTTATTGTTGTAATTTAAAATAACACCTAGGTAAGGAAATTGATCCACACATTCAACCTTACTTCCTTTGTAATACCATTTTTCCTCATTATGCAATCTTCCACCTTTTCTAAAAACTACAATTTTTGTCTTTTCAGCATTTACAGTTAAATTCCATTCAGTACAATATTTTTCTAAATTATCAAGCATATCTTGGAGACCTTCTACAGTCTCGGAGAATAATACCAGATCATCAGCATATAGCATCAGATATAAACTGAGTTCCTCAAACTCATAACTACCCTTGCAATTTTGTATAAAATATGATTCAAAATCATTTATATACATAGAAAAAAATATCGGTGACAGAATTTCACCCTGTAATAATCCAACCCTGTTAAGAAAAAAATCTGACAACTTTCCATCTAATTTAACACAAGATTTAACATGAGAGTACATAGACCTTACAACTTGTAATAGCTTTCCTCTTATACCAAGTTTTGATAGCTTATTCCATAAATTTATTCTATTTACCATATCAAATGCTTTACGAAAATCGACAAAGCAACAATACAATCTTTTCTTATTAATAAATGATTTGGATATAATAGAATGTAAACAAAATATAGCATCTACTGTACTAAGACCAGGTCTAAACCCAAATTGAGCATCAGTTATTACATCATATGTTTCTGACCATTTTAAAAGTCTATTGTTTAAAACAGAAGTGAATAATTTTCCTAAACAACTTACTATACTTATACCTCTAAAATTGTTAGGGTCAGTTAGGTCACCCTTTTTATGTACCGGTGTAATTACAGCAACTGCCCAATCAGCAGGATAGAGACCAGAGTCCAATATATTGTTAAAAAGTTTACACAAAATAGGTAATAAAATATCCCTCCCTACCAATAAACTTTCATTTAAGATGCAATCTATACCATGGGATTTTCCCTTCTTTAAATTACTGATTGCTTTGCAAATTTCATCAATAGTAATTACTTGGTCCAATTCTTCATATAATGGTACTTCATCTGAATGATTGTGAGATTGATCAGGTTCTTGATCAGAGTTATCGTTCCTGACCAAATTTTTGAAGTGCTCAAATAAAACCTTCAATTCAATATCTGGTTTCTTGGACTTGGTTGCAGTGAATTTTCTGTAAAATTCCTTAGTATTGTTAAATCTCATGTATTCAAGCATGTCGCCTTCACACTTTAAGTACATTCTTTTTTTCATAGATTCTTTTAATTTATAGTTCCTTTTCTTCTCCACAAGCAGAGCATGATTAAATACATTTTTTTCCTTATTGAAGTTATACAGAGCTGATTTGTACAAGTTGTACAAAGTTTTCAATTCTATATCAAACCATGGTTTGTCAGTATTAAAATAGATTAACCCATCTCGGCATGTATAAGTATGGTTATCTTGATTGGCATCACAATATTTAGTTAATTTTACAAGGAAAGGTTCCATAGATTTCATCAGTATTTCAGTAAAACTACTCACACTAGTGTTAATACCAGACTGACTAACAGCATCAGGGATGGTTACAGCAACACATAGGTTCTCCTGATTGTCAGACAACAAATTTAAAAAACAACCCTTAAATTCATCATTCCATTTGTATAATGGTTTACGCTCACCACTTTCAGTAACATCATGTGTAACAGTGTGATGAATCTGACATTTGAATTGAATATGCAAAGGAGCATCGTCAGAAAATACATTAAAATTTGAAATTATAAATTGTTCCAGAATATTAAATAATGAATCTGTAATTATACAGTAATCTATAGTACTCATGCCGTTGTGTCCATAGTATGTAAAATCATTAGAATATCCTTGTTGGTCTCTTCCGTTACATATACACATATTACATGATTTACATAGCTGTATCAGGCGATTACCAAAAGTGTTAATTACTACATCTGGATTATGCCTGATTTTTAAACCGTCATCAGGTTCATAATTTATTATATTGGAGAGGCAATTTTTAATACTGGAATGAATTACATCATTCTGAATATAATAAAGTAGAATACCTGTACGACTATTAAAATCTCCAACCATCATAATGTCCCCGAGGGAACTATAATTTACAATACCATTTTCAAGTTCAAAGAAAAGGTCACAGTTGTACATGTTATAATATACAGAACTAGAAGGTGGCATGTAAACACATGCTATATATAAATCATTTTGGTTATCAATAAGGGTTTTCGATAAGTTGAGCCAACCAAATATTCTTACAAGCTTTCATCGGACGCAGACACTAAGCCAATTAGTGAACTAATACGAGCGTGAGTGATTTTTGCTGAAGAGTGGTCTGCGTTAACGTTTCACCGCCCGCGCATTTTGTTTACCAAGTGTATATCGTACATAACACGAGCACCATACTGACAGTACAGATCATCCAGGTAGGGAGTTATAACAATAGAAATACTAGAATCCAAATCATACATTCGTACTCGCTCCGCTGGGTCATGCTCATAAGCACAAAAAATGTACTCAAAAAGTTTCGAGCCCCGATTTGCTCGGCGGGACACATCCTTTCAAAATTAGTCCGTGTTCAAAGCCGAGCGTCGCAAAGCAAGGATTACAAAGTGTGACTCTGCAATGGTTTCACTACACAGGTCAACATGACTTGAATCTATTATTGTGTCTTTTTCCGTGCCTATATAGATCATCCAAGAATTAAAAAGAGGCTGTTAGGTTCGCGCGTGCAGACATTTGTCACGGGATTGTTCGTGTTCATTTAACCAATTTGCCGAAATTAGAGCTGAAGTAATAATTTCTGGACGCTGCAGCTGGTGGTCGTGCTGTGTCAGTTAAACGTGAATGTAGATGGAAATGGTCGACATGTATATTCACGCGTGTGCCCTCACTCGAAAAAGTGAACCTGTCTAAGACCGGTCACACAAGCTAACGTGTTACACAGAAGAGGATTTTGGAGACCGTCTCACTTTCTATAATACATGCGCACATTTATTGAATTATTGCCAAACTATACAAGGTTACTAAAAATGAAAATTGCCGTCACATCGTCGATGAAGTATTATGCTGAATACTCAATCGACACTTTAACGGTATCAATTAAAACCACGCAGTATTTGAACTGCGCAACTTCCGGTTTAGGTAATGAACATGTTATTGCGTAATAGACATGCAGTTCACGTGATGTCAATTATAGGTGCACACGCTCCAAGAAGCCGACGTCATTAAGGTTCATTTTTACGTTCCAATGTAATCTAAAATTGCATTTTCTAATGCGAAAGCACGCGTATACCTATCAAGTATGAAAGATACCTCGACAGGCAAATATCAACAGTTAGGGCTCGAGAGTAATTTAATAACTGTTGATTATATTACAGATATGTTTTTTATGTCGAAATATTACGGCATCACAGTGTAAGCGTTGAGTACATTAAGGAGTCTTACTGTATTTGTTGGCTGAAAGCCCTGATCATTCCAACGATATCTCTCACAATCTCTCTCCAGTCCACCAATCCAGCCGACGACAGAAGTATACACCGCTCTGAAAAACATACAAAAAGGAATTTTGATGGGCCATTTTGTTTACGTCTAGCGTGTTGACAGGTTGGCAGCTCACAATATCGGCACGCTTGGCGCGGAGCGTGCTAAGTTAGATAGCCAGTGACCTTTGACATGGCCCAGTGATCGTTTTTTAAGGTAATTTTGTATATGGTGTATATGGTCATTCCATTAAATCACCAAGAACAGACATAGAGGCCCGTCAACGACATAAGGTCATACGAGGTTACGTGTTTTAACATGGGAAAACGGCAGTCCCTTGTTAATGTGCCAACCAAAACAATGAAGCATATGGAAAGATAGATATCTCAACTCTTGCAATTGGCGCAGCTGATAATTTTTGGTCTCTTGAATGTCCCGTTAGCAGAAGACGCACATAAAAAGAGCTCTTTGCTACAAAGAGTGCGCGTAAGTCGCCTCATACAAATTCAACGAATAAGTTGTAGATAGAGTCCGTCAGGTTCTAACAAAAATATCAAGAAATTTTATAAGAGCTTGATGACGTCCAATAGTTTAAAGGTCAAAAGAAGATTATTCAGTTATGTGCAAAACTCAGACTTAAACACAATACACGTTATATCGATTTTAGCTCAGTGACCTTCAGAAGTTCAAAGGTCAACAGGGAATCTCAAATGCAACGGTGATTCTTACTATTGCAGTTAATGTATCGATACATGTAACATTATGCATTTAAAAGGTGACAGAAGTGGTGTCCAGTTTCGTACACTATTTCAGTACTTTTACTGTTACTGTGTGTTTTTTATAACAAATGTCGAATTTTCTTAGCATGTTTTTTTTTTTGAGCCAACCTGCATCACGGCAAACAGGACTCGGCGGATCATTACATATACGTCACAAATGGGTACTTTTTCCGAAATGGAATGTCAACCTTATCGTCATGTTTGTGACCAACCATTTACAGTCAAACATTGCATGATTGAATGCGTCGATTTTAAATAAATACGTGACTTTTACGTTATATAATGTACCGAAATTTGGTTTAATACCGTTTTTGTGTCGTTAATATATGATTATTTACATTGATCTTTGCAATAATACATGATAATTATATCTTGGAACCAAGTCGTTTGCTACCGATGTATATTTTGCACCTTTTACCCTTTTAAACGTGTTTTAAAGTTTCAGTTTGAAGTAAATAAACATGTTTCTGTTTTTGTGAACGTCTACTTTTACAGTGTGACGTTTGGCCCTACATGACTTAAATGTAAAATGGCTCGTGAAACAATATTTATTTTCACATATGTAGTTTAATTTTTATGTATTCTGTTTCCGTGAACGTCTGTTTAATAATGTTCCTTTGGCCTTTAATGACTTAACTGTCGATGGACCGTGACGCAATATAAAACAAAACACAAAAAAATCAAATTACAACCGATTCAAATACACAGTCAAACTGTCTAACATGAAGCAAACCTCAGTGGAAAATCATGATAGGGACCGACAATAAATAGATATAAATATACAGCATTTGATATAGCGTCCTATCTAGCTAGAATAAGCCACTCTAAAGCGCTTTACAGTACATAGATATACAATTTATACAATCAATACAATTAACATATACATCAAATAATACATTTATCAATACAATTTTGAGTAATTTGCAGGAGCTGCCATATCAGGCGGTAACTCTTGTCCTATATATGCCACCTGGCTAATACCTCCCTGTGTGTGTATGCCTGCGTGAGTGCTGGAGATGTATTGTGTTCTGTTTGTAGTGGGACCGTGCTTCAAACGGCATCTTTTATAGTGTCACTTCACTTTATTGATACAACACAGACACCGCAACACCCACCCCAGACCATTTTATATTCAACCTGGGTTGTTGGAAATGTGTATAAAGGCCTTAATAATACTGTTCTGTATACTCAACTAATCTCTAAAATCCGCGACTGATAGTGTTTGTGGTTACTGTGACAATATACGGCACGTCTCGTCCAGGTGGGAAACAATAACAGAGTGAAAATATTTAACGTACAGGAACTCAGTGAAAATAAGTCTTCGGGCTTTCTCGGTTATTCTGGTAGTTAGGAAACCCCCCTTTTTTTTACGTAAAGCCCTTTTTGAAAATATACAAATATGAATAGTATCAAAGTTATCATGCTATCGTAAAATATGACGTTTTAGATAATGGATATTTGTTTTAAGTTATGCAACCCAGATTTTGTTTTTATATTATTGAATGTGTTATGGAAATTTTCGTTTAGTAATTAATAAATAATTGCAGAATTTGACAGTTCGATCCTTGTTTACGCTAATAGATAAAATTTGAAGAGAGATCTGAATCTTTTTTTTTAAATTCTATCTTAATCATTTATATGAGATTTATCGTCTATTCTATTGTTTATTTATTTAAAACAGTGTTAACATTTATTTATCCTCTAGATAAATTGTCTATAACATGAGTAAACCGTTTCTCAAAAAGTGCCCAAAGGTTTCAAATTATCTTTTCTCCGTCTCGGTCAAGATCGCCTTTTGGAGGTCTATATGTAGAAACATATCCACCTCAAGAAAAGTCTATAATAAATGTCTAACAGATAAGCTATATTTTTTTGCAGTATTACGGTACTCTTTATAATTAACTTGTATACGCTTACAATATGGCAAATAGATAATCTATATGAAGCAAGAGTTTTAGTTCCCGATAGTTACGCTGAAAAAAATACATTTTGTAAGTACATCATGTACAATAAAATCAGGCATCTTAACTCATTCACCCCTGAAATTTCATAATGAACAATTCCAACCTTTGAATTGGAGGAGTTCAAATGTGTTTTCAGGGATGAATGTTAGTCGGCGTGTCGTCAGGTCTTACGTAAACGCTATACATAGTAACGTAAGGCGCGTGTCTCCAAGTTAGCATCGCCTAAACAAATAGAAACTGTCAGAACACAGACAACCACCACTGATTTCAACAGGACTTTTTTTTATCAAAACATTAAAATGTTCGACACTTGATTGATCTATAGCAGTGTGTAACAAAACATATATAATCTCCCGATGAAAGAGAGTACTGTGTTTCTTAGTTACATGAACGGGGTAACAAAAGTACATGTCACGTTGTGAAAATCGAATCCGGTAAATCCGGAACGGTTTGGTTTTATTGGGTTTAATGTACCGTTATGGCATGCTACTACTCTGAAGTTAAAAAATGCAGGACACATTCGAAATAACATGACGTTTGTCTCAGTAGACAAGGCAGCATATGATCGGGAACCGTCGGCATATTCCGTAAAAGAGAAAATTTCGGAATGTGCCGACGGTTCCCGATTTGGCATGCAACTTTCGTTACACCAAGCCAGGGTTCAAAATCCTTATACATTCGGAATGCCTTGACCATTACTTTGTATTCAGAAATGTTTGAAGAGTGCATCCGTAAAGATTTGGCATGCCATTGCAGAACAATTCATACCTCGTGTCAAAAAATGGGCGAGACTGGGATTCGAACCAGGGGCTACCGAATTCTAGAATGACGCCCTACCATCAACTATACTGTCTGAACCTATTTTCACGAGCTCTCCTTAACGTTAAGTTCAGTTTCTTCATTGGAAAGCAATGCTGAAGTTAATGAAACTTTCTTGAATGGTACGACGGTAACACTATAGGAACGCTTTCCATTACAAAAAGACTAGTATCCATAAGATCACATGGGCAAGGCACAGACAAACCCCCATCCCCTATATGCTTATATAGTAGGGGTGTCATAATACGTCAAGCGTGAATCACGATATATTGCAATACAGAATCAATATATTGCGATACGTATCCCGATATATTGTCATAGGAAGGATGTGCTCAATTTTATAAGTTGTTGTCAGAATGTTATCAAACTTAATCATATATAATATGGATTACATAGATTTAAGATGTTTGTCAAACCAACAATCGATTACATTTGAACCATTAAAAGCCTGCTCTAAGCTTATTGGCATATCTGTTAGACTATTTGTAGTAGTTTGCAAAGTTAAAACACCAAGCAGATACATAAAAACATGTTTTTGAAAAATAATGTCAGCAATCCATCCATAGAATCCTTTTTTCTTAATATAGATAAAACATATAAACGCATACATCATTAACACCCACACAATTTCTGCTTGTCAGTCGGTATTACACGGATGTTGCTGAAAGACCATATAACCGTTTTCGCGATTGTCACAAGAGAATAGTTTTAGCTACTTACAGTTATACTGGGTTCATAAGGTGTGCAATTCAACTATTCCCAACCACGATTTAAAATTTAAAAACATTATCTTGAAATTTCTATGGAAAAAATGTGTTAGAAAGATAATAGATACAAGCTTCACAAAGAACGACGGCACCTGTCGGGCGACAGTCGGAACCCCTTGTCTTTAATAGATAAAAGCTTCACAAAGTTAAAGCAATTTAACCGCTGACGGTCAAGCTTTAAAATAAACATATTCTGAAATTTCTTAAGACAATATTAGTAGAACAACTATACCTGTCAGACTACAATCGGAACCCCTTGTCCTAAATAATACTAATTGATACAAGTATAAGCGTGACATATGGCAACAAGGCCCCGAAGTCAATAAAGGTAAGTGCCTTCGAAGGCTGATTGCGTTCCTGTAAATGCACAGCAACAAATGAACGTTTTTTTTGCCATGCTGCCAAAGGTTGCACGCGCCACAGCACGCGCCGATGTATCTATACAAAAGTTGTAAGCGACCCAGAACGCTATACCCAAGACCTCCGGGACAGTCCAGAGAGACATATATTCTCTCATCATGTAATTTCCCCGGGTCTCTTCCAATAATCACTTCACCATGTGGCGGAATGTGTCTGTGTTACGATATTGCCACCTTGCGAGCTACTTGCAATGCTTGCCCACGCATTTTGTTACCGCGTTACCTATATAACGCATACCTAGGCCACAAGTGCCTATGCCGGGGGAGCCACTCACAGTGGCCCGCTAAGAATAGGCCAGAAATGGCAGAGAGA